TGTACCGGTGATAAGAAGCCACGAACATAACAAATCAGGCTCGCTCCACCTAGCAGCGGACTGGCAAATGAAGAAGTACAAGTAGTGTAGGAGACGTTGGCCGACCTAAATTGCAGTGTTCTCGAAGCTTCGCCCGGTTTGCAAGCACGCGCTTTTTTCCTCCTGATCTCCATCAGTAGGTCGAAGCAAGCGTTTAGCCCTTGGCCTAGATTGAAAGGCGTCTTGCATTTCCTTTTAGTTATTGATGTAATTTACTGTTTCTTGAAAGTTCTTTGAATAATATGCGAAGGAAAAGAATTACGTTTTAAAGTGTGGGAAAGTTTCTTAAGATCTTCTTCAGATCTTAAGAAACTTTTTTAAGATCTTTCTTACTCATTGATTGAAGATGGCATAAGCATGTCGAAACATGTCTCTCAAAAAACTTGTCTATTTCTTACAATATTTATCATACATGCTACTACTACGACCTTATAGAAATAAAGTTATCATCATCAGTTCGAAATTTATATCTTTATTTGTTGTGACTAACTTGCACCAAAAACTTGGAAGAATATGACATTCAGTGCAGAATAAATGCCTTTAGTTCAGTTTAGGATGTCAAATAAAATCAACACCAAACTACTCACGAGATCTTTGTTCCAAGTTTCATTGAATCCGCGTAAAATATCCAAGCTTGTCATATTGAATCATTGATTTAAAAAAAAAAAACGCTTAAATCAAGTTAAATCAGTAAAATAACGACACCAGGAGCAAACAACACACGTATGGAATAAGGTAAGCCATTTTTATTTAGTATTTTCACTTTTAACTATCTCCATGGATATCTTGTTGAAAATCCCATACAAATGCTTATAAATCGATATGCAAATTGTGTTCCCTGTGTGGTTCTCAAAGAGAGCTTGGGCAGCCTGTGATGTAAGCTAAAGCAGACGCATCAAAACCAGTTTCCATATCTTGTTGGAAAATGATAAAACATGCACAATTAAAGCGATACGGTCAATAAAAACATGACATGCAATGAGTTATTTTTGGCTGTGATCATCACTAACACATGATATAAAAAGGAGTGGTTTAGCAGCATAAACTGAATTGCGTATTCACAGATATAAAATAAAAATTAGTATGTACATGTATACATCTTATTATCAAAAAAGTGCGTAGTTGATCGTAAGGGGAACTTGTACATTATTTGTGGCTGTTGACTATTCCGGCCGAAGCAATAAAAAAACTGTTTTTAAGTCTATTTGTCTTGCAAAGTGGCAAAGCAAAGGAACGCTCGTACTTTAACCTATGAGAGCTTACATAGCGGGGTGGTAAAAGTTTACTTAATTTGTGCTGAGGATCGTTCATTATATTGCGAAATGTTGCTGTACACATATTTTCATGGTGGTCTTTCACAGTTGGAAGATTCATAATACCTAAGGCCTGTTCGTACTGCATACCAGGACAGATGCTTCTCATGGATCTTTCCTGAATACGTTCTAGTTCCTGATGGAAGTATTCAGGGAGAGAGTAATGAAAAAATTGTGCTGCATAATCGATTACGGATCGTACACATGCCGTATAAAAGAGGCAAAGGTCTTTTGGTGGAACGTGAGCTCTTTTTAGCTGAACAAGGAAATAGGTTCTCTTTGCTGCTTTCTTGGTAATCTCAGTTATGTGAGCGTTCCATTTAAAATCTTCGGAGATGGTAACATCCTAGAGTTTGGTTTGTTTAACCAATTTCATGTGTTTACCATCTATTGAAACTGGATCCAAATCCCTAGACTTTTACTAGACTTTTTTACACAGGTCCAGTTTGGATTTGCAGATTGAAGAACTCAAAAGGAATTAACCGTTAAACGAAGTGGACACTTTGGAAAGGCAAAATGGTAGGTTAATTTCAACTTCCCGTTTCACTTGATTCTGAATAACAAAGAATATCTACTATGCATCCTTTATTCTAGAGAAAATCTTATAAGGCTTTTTTACATCATGAGAAACATCAACCAAATAGGATTGTACGAGTGCCATTATATGCATGCATAGCTCCATTTTAAAACAGAACACTTCAATCGAAGTTTGTATAAGAATGTTGAAATAATCTTTAATTCAAATGATGAAAGTTGCTTTAGCAAGGTATGATAAGAACACGGAATACAGTTATTTCGCGTTTGGAAACTTGCCACAACGACAGAGTTACGCAGAAGCAACCTTGCCGGAATGTTTTTTGCCAAAGGATATACGGGAGTTTAAATGATCGCTGAAATACAGCCAAGAAACGAACATGTTGCTTTGAAAATAGCACTTCATATGCCATTAACTACATTCGCGTTAATTTACTAACTTGCTTTTCCTTTCACAGAAATTCAACTTGTTGTTTTTGTGTCTTGCCCTGCTGGTCGTACTTGTCCAGTCTTCCACTTTGATATCAGAAAAGAAGGTGAGAGATAACTTGATATCATTTCCTAGTAATTCAAATAATACATTGACTGGAAGGAAGAAAATGATAATTTAGAAAGAAAACATCAACAGGGTCCTGATTTAACGCCAAATTCTCTTGAAGAGCCACAAAAGATTAATAAAGATCGTTCGCAAGTTAAGTTTTTGTTTCTTTTTGAGTGCAGCAAACGTTACCTCAATAATAACTAGAATTTCTAAGTCAGAGTGGCCAACCATTCTTGGTTTTTGATTTTACACTGGCGTAATTAGAACCATTTAGATACATGTACGTCGACGTAAATTCTCGTATTTTGAAATGAAATCGCCTTTGTTCTTAGAGCTCTGTAAGTAAATATTCACTGTAGTTGTCAGAAGGCGGAAAAGAATTCAAGGAAGAGATCGCAATCGACACTGCAAAGGGAACAGAGACTTTCCAGGTATCAAAGACATCGCCTAATGAATCAGCAGGAAATATAATCTACGATTTCAAAAGGGTAAATACTTGGTCGTATTTGTTGAATACGATCGCAGGGGTTGGTAGAGGCGATGAAGGCGAGAAAGGGAAGTTTGAATTTCCGTCGGCATTTCTTGTACGTACCCTGTTCACATATTTATGTTCTGCTTTTTACCAATAGGTTCTTAAAGTAGTTCTTTGCCCGCTTATTATTGGTTTCTTTATGCTGAATTCATACCTTTTTATAAGTGTGGAGCTCCGCTCACTCTGTAAACTCCGCTATAAGTCTGTGTGAGAAAAGATTTCTACTTCTTCTAATGACGATGATAACTACTGGTTAGCTCAGGTTGTGGAGCGCCAAAATGCCATGCGGGAGGTCAAGGGTTTGAGTCCCAGACCGATACAACACTCAAAGTCTTGAAATAATGGAGGAGAAATGTGCTGCCTTCGCAGTGACATCGAAACAATGGTCAAACATCCTTTTCTCCTCAGGAAAAGACGATTAACCGTAGGTCCCGTTTCCTGCAGCAGAGGTCGTTAAATAACCCACGCATTTCGATTGCGAAGAGTAGGGAACATGGCTTGGTGTTATGGCATGGCCTCGTCGCCATAAAGTTCCTTAAATAGCTCAATGCAGTCTGGCCAAAGTCTCCCAAAGTGTTGTTAAGCGCATTAGGGCACATTCATTTAGAGAATGCCGCATGTAAAAGTACTGTTATCGCCGTCACTTCTTCTAGTGATACGAGTTTAATTCATGTTAATATAAGTTTAATCAATTTAAACTTCCAGGGCGTCAAGTGTCTCAGTTAGTATCTGTGTTCACTTTGCTGTTTGCTTTTCCCTTAAATTTTGACTGAAGTTGGATTTATTTTACATGCAGCAAGTGAGTGACAATGATTCATCCGTGACCGGTAGAAAAGGCTTGCTAGATGGCAAGTTCAGTAGATGAAACTGTCGCACCCGCCGTTTTAAAGGAAGCTGTAGAGACGGTTAAGTGAGACTGAATTGCTTCCACAGCTCGACTCTCCTACCGTCAGCCTTGCGATTTTTTCACGCACGTGATACCTAATTCTCATCACTGTGTTTAATTATATAACCAGGAAAATCCTTAAACAGGTAAAGACTTAACAACTACTTCATCTGAAATACAAATGAAGGTTGTGGGACTGCTCGACGATCGTTCAGTGCTGAGCGCTGAAGTGGCGGATTTGTGTGCCTATCGACGCAAATGACGAGGAGGCTTATGTGGAGTCTTATGAAGATGCTGATGAAGTCGTCGCGTAGGAAGCCAGGGATTTCCCTGAAATAACCGACCTATATGACATTCCTGACGCACGTAAGTCGTATTGAATAAGAGGTGTTTTCTGGGGGGTAGTGTAAGCGGTCGAGGTAAGGCTAAGTGTGGAATGTTGTAATGGCAACTCCTGTTTTTTTTTTCTTCTTTTTTTGGAAAAAATAACGCATATTAGGAAAAAAATTGGCTAAAAATCTCCAATATTATTCCTTGTTTACATCACAGATAAAACAATGAGGTACCTTACGACTTGATTAGCTCTGCGTGCAGGTAACATAAATCAAACTTTGTGTCCTGATTTACTTCTCGGCAAGCAAAGATGAACTAATCTTAACAAGTTAAAATGCGGAGGGATAGGGAGGGGGTCTGGGGATGATTCTCCAAATTGATGGGCGCTTAACTGAGACTCAAGGGAGATGTACGCAAAACGGAAAGCAACTTTTACACTAATTTTATTTTGTTTTTCGTGTTTCGTAGTGAGAAACGCCAAATTTCGCGTGCAGTTAGAAAGTGGATTTGTCGCCGCGTGTGTCATTGGGTAACACAACGGGTTTGCCCCCGTGTGTTTAGGAAGGGCCGTTGGATTCAGGTTTGCAAAACCGTTGGACGACGGGCCTGTAGAAATGTTTGTAACTGATTTATACGAAGTGGGTTAACTCTCCTGTCCCCAACCAAGTGCCAAGTGTAAAAATTTTGATGGGTATGTGACAGTGGCGCTTTCCTTTGAGCGAAAATTCAGTTCTGGTTTGAAATAGCGTTAAACAGCTTTTCTTTTATCCAGACTCGTGGATCGATTTTCAGGCTTCAACGTGAAATCCAACTACAAACATATTTTGCTGCACATTATCTGCATGTTCATTCTCATACATTAATACCACGAAAAGTTGCTTCCATCTAAGATTGCAGTCAACCAGTCGATAACTCAGCTTTCGATGAAGTTAGCAGTAAATTAGAAGTCATTGGTGGAAATTATTCTAGAATTTCCGCTCACACTAACGACCAAAAGAAATACTGCCAAAAGTTGATGTTTTGTGGAACATGTTGTGCTTGGATTTCAATTGCCTAAATCTGAAATTTTCGCAAGATGGAAAGCGTCCTTGTGTGTATTTGAAGTTTTTACATCTTAGCTGAAGATGAAATAATAACGATAAAGATACTGAAATATTGGCTTGATAATATACACGGTTTTTCTTGCGGCGGAGCGTTTTAAACAACTGACGTTTAGAGAGCTACACCAAAGAAAGCTGAATATCAAGCACTTTGACAAAGAAACGAGGTCCGATGGCCAGTTTGCATCGTGTTTCATAAGCCACATAAATTAGATTTGGTAGCATAAATTGTCCATCTAAGAATAGGAACTTTTCGTTGGAAATATAGGCAGTTGGTTAAAATACAACGCAAATGTGAGTAAGGATGTCCACGCTTGTTTTTCAGTATTTATTCTGGCTTTATTGCGATCAGTTATAGTGAAAATATTTTTCTGTTTCCTTGGTTAGAGAAATTGACTGATGAGTCGCGAATGTGTTCTTGTCTTGCATTTGATTAGTCGAGGGGTCATGGGGTAGAAAGAAACCCATTGCTAACCGGGATTCGATACTCAATGGACAATGCCTCAGTCAAAGGGAGCCAATGAGAACGCAAAATGAACACATACCATCAGCACTTTGCGCGGGGAAACGCAAGCGACCGCGTCGCGATTGGTTTTAATGTCGCATCTGATTGGTTGAGAGGTTGGCACGAGTTTTCTAGGCCAATCACAGCGCGGGAAAAAGCATAACCTATATAATAATTAGTTACTTTTTGAACCTCAATCATAAAGGGCTCTAGGTGGCAGGTTTCCAACCTACTGCAATTCCCGCTCCGCTACGTCCCAGGTTCATACTGCTAACCAACTTCCAGCAATCTTGTTCAGGGATGTATTCCTCGAGAGTGTTCAAAAACCCTTCTCCAGCGTAACCTCCGACTACGTAAAGTTTCCCACACAAAACAGTGGCACTAAGTGCACTTCTCCTGTGTATTAGAGGCGAAACCGTTATCCATGTGTCCGAAGCTGGGCTATAACGTTCAACACTGTTTAATTGCGCTTCGCCGTCATATCCGCCGATGGCATACACGAAGCCATTCAACGAGGCCGCGCCTGCGCCGCTACGACGCTCGACTAGCGGTGACACTAGTTTCCACAGATCAGTATCCACGTCATAACATTCAGCGCTGAAATGACGAAGGGGGCGTTGATGGATGGGTAGAAAAGATCCTCCGAGAGAGCAGCTTTACAGCCGCGGCTTAGTAAGTCTTGAAGCACATCAGAATCATAGTTTTCAAAATAGTTATAGTAATTACTTTTTCACATCAGAAGGTGGCGTAGGAGAGAGGGGAGTCGTGGAGTGGGCTTAAAAAGTTCGTAATTTTTTGACAACGTTGGCGATGCAGTCGCAAAAAGCAGCAGAAGTCAGTCAAAACAAAAAGAAAAAAGAACACATAGAGCATCTGAAGTACTGATCAGAAGGTCTTCTTTTTGACTCTCCTTAGGAGCATTTGAGTACACTAGTGTCATTCACTGACTAACAACATCTTTCACTGAAGCAAACACTTCCTCTGAGCAAACTACGTGAAAAACAGCATCTCACTCAAACATCTCTTTACATTCACTAACCTCCTAAGTCTGTGTCTTCCATCAAATCCTCCGGCTGCGTAAAGCTTTCTGTCAAGTACAGCAACAGCTACACCTTGGAAGAATATTTAACAAATATCAAACAATACAACATCCATTACTGCAGCTACATTGTGCGAAAAAAAAAAACAGCTCAAACACATGACCCCTTCATAGAAAAGGACTGGAAATGAAAACATATTTGATAATATGGCGACTGGACTAAACAAAACTAACGCTGCGGCAGTGTTTTAACAGGTCTCCAAGCTATACTTTCAATGAATTGAAATGGTTGCTAGACAAAATTTCAGCCAGAAAAAAAAGTGAAAATGATTACAATGAAGCATTGATATGTATCGTGTTGTATCCAAAAATGTTGAACACAGGTGACCAAATTAGTGACTTTTGAACACAGGTGGCCAAATTGGTGACTTAAGCTGTAAATTTTGAGCAACAGTTTTTTTCCCACTCACCAACTGGTAAAACTGGCAACCCGAGCAATTTCAGCTTGGAACAGCATCTCTGTAAAGTATATGTAAAACCTACCTATTCTAGGAAAGTTAAGTGGCGTAACTGTTGTCCATTCATCTTGTTTTGGGTCATATTTCTCCATTGATGTGTGAAATGTGTTCCCATTTCCTCCACCGACTGCATAAATACAGTCATCAATGACAGCCACACCCAACCTGTTGCGTGCTACACTGAGGGGTGCCATAG